AAAAAAATTCCATCACAATAATAAGCTTCATATTGCAATTGACATCCACAACCCTTCATTCTCGATTCACTGATATATGCTGCTGTGCAGGGAGTGCCCATTCCCCATAAGGTCCATGGCGCAAGAACCTTCCTCCCCCCCTCCCTCTCCTCCCAAGATATTTTATTGCTCTCCTTTTCTTAGAAACAGAGCAAGATGAGATATAATTAGAAAAACCGTAGTAGATCGTACACAATTTCACCAACTGCGGCCTGATCCATGCTTCCACTTGTCCCTTAGTCCGAAAATTCATAACCCTGTCGAAATTAACTCCCCTAAAAAATTCAAAACCCCGTAAAAATATGGCACCCTAAAAAATTTTGATGGCCCAACCTGCGACATTCTGGGCACCATGCTGCTGGGCATACGTTTTATGAACATATGTATTTCATGAAAAATGTTTTTTTGTACGTAGTTTCATTAAAGGTTGTCAACAAATATATTTGGTGGTGGTGGGTATAGTCGTTCCTCTAACTGCAATTCAATGCTGCGTTAAAAAAGAATACATTCATGAAACTCAATAAAAACAGTTAACGCTTCTCCAAAACAATTACGCTATCGTAATTTGATACCATCCTATAATCACCTTTACTAACTCGATGCATTTATTGGCTGAAAGGAGTACTTTATTGTTGAGTTTCATAAAGGTATTCCTCTGTGCCGGAACGTTTAATTGGAGTCAGAGGAACTATTATGCATTTCAACATGACTATCTAATATCAGAGTTAGCTGTGAATTACATTTGTCAATATCTTGGAAAATATGATGGCGTAATCAAGATTGGAGCTAGAGAGGAGCAAATGGAAACTTGCTCCAAGCAGGAGAATTTAGGGGGCATCAAATTTGAACTATTATTTTATTTTCATTTTAAATAAAAAATATATTTTCCTGTTTTTTGAATGCCTAGATCTTAATTTAGTAAATAAAATGAGTTAATGTTATCAGATGATTCTATAAAACTTGTAACTTTTATTGAATTGGGAAGGGTATAAAAAAATGGAGCGGCAAAATTGTGACCCTCCCAAGCACAACTTCGACCCTAGGCGGAATATAGAAATGTGAGGAATCTCCACGATGCCAATAGCGATGGCCCACACAGTGCAGGCCAGTAGTACCTACTGATGGCACAGGTAGGGGGTAGCGCTGCCGTCGCACAGTCCTTCCACGTAAGACTGAATAGATTTCCGCAGGCGTTGAGGCTTTAGTCTCCTAACTACTATTGAAATTTTCCCAAGCAATAACTTTAAAATCTACGAATAATTGAATTACATTATATTTTCTACAGATAAAAAAATATCAGTTCCAGCCATGCTGGTTGTCATCAGCATCAAGTGTGCTGCTCCCAGTTCTTCCAGAGAAACAGAGAAGACAGCCATATAGCTGTTATCTGTTTTAACATGATAACATGACAATGGAGAGGCTGGGACAGTCACAAATTAATATATATGACGTTATTAATATCATTATTTCTCTCCACAATTTTTCAACAAAAATAAAAAAGTTCCATATTAATTTTTAATTATAATTTACTAAATATTAAATGAAAAATATTTAAACTTCAAGCTGAGTTACTAATATAAATTGCATAGTAGAGAAAAGAAAATTGTAATTAATTTTATTCTAATAGAAAATATTGAAATAAAAATATGTTAAACTAACCATAGAAAATAAATAGGAAGAGCCCTTAAAGAACATGAAAATAATTGAAGATTCAAACAATAATATTTAAAAAAATGACAATATTCAGCCCTATTAAAACTTATTGCCAATACAAAAACATTAATAGGGATGTAAACATTGATACAACAGATGTTCAGTCATTGCTGCATCGTGAACAAACAAGGTCACAGTTCTATTAATAGGCATTTCTCTCTTCGAAGGGCAAACCTTACTGGAGTCGCCATATCTTTACCAATAAACGTAGTTTTACGTTGTTGTTCATAGAAACGATTAAATCACAAAACTATTCAGGAAAAAGATATAATATATCTCCTTAATCAAATTCAAAATGAAATTATTTGTTATACAGAAAAGAACACAAAATTTTAAGACTTCTAAAAAATTAATTCGTATTGATGGTTTTTGTAAATAAAAATGTATTAAATGACTAAAAGTGATTTAAGCGATAGTAGTGAATTTTCATTTTATCTTTATCATAATTATTTCTTCAGTCATAAAGTACAGTGTAAAAATGATATTTCATTAACATTATCAAGCATGACTGGTTCTTCCAACATTATTTTGATTCGAGCATATGAACAATATGATAGAAGTTGTATTATCAAGGAATCCACATCCCTCATAAAGTAAAAGTCAATATGAAAAAGATCTTTGCATAAACCTAATCGTTTAAGTGAAACAGTAAATTCATAATACTTTCATTAATTTAGTTACTCCTCGATTCGTACTAGTACCAAAACAGACGAAGTCTTGCTCTACAATCAAGATGAAATCTTTCAAATTGATATTTAAAAATGAATTCTACGACTAAAACATCGGAGCCTAAACAAAAAAAGAATGAAGAAAATTTTTTCATAGGACACCTCTTGCCCCTACCATTGATGTCCCAATAACTTCAATAAGAAGGAGGGGGAAAGGGCGTCCCACCCCGCCACTCAGACGACAAGGTCTTGGATTAAATGGCTGCCTCAGAGATTTGTTTCAAACCTATTGGCGTTCTCCCACCCATCGGGGGCGTGACCGCGCATGCCCTCGCGAAGGAAAGAGATTGGTCGAAGGGGGACACGCCCCCCTACTGCCATAAGCCCCTATGGTGAGCGATCCCGGCGTCACAAAATAGGGAGAGGGTACACTAAAAGAGGGGCTAATGTTCATCAAGCGAAATGATTGGAAGCAGCCTGCCATCTTGTCTTGCAATTCAAAATCCAAGTTGTTGGAGCCTTAACTTCAATATTCTAGAAAACAAAATTAGTTAGATACACTAGAAAATTCAATGTACACCATACTGTGCTCAAGTAATATAACTTCTTGTTCATGAGTTTTAATAAACGTTTTAAAATAATAATTTTTAAAAAAAACCTATACCACTACAACCCATAAGGGGTCTTGTGAGGAAGCACTATTTTAAGACCAACAGTTGTGCAGGGAGGTGATTGGGCTGAAAATCAAGCTCAACCTCCAGGTTTCCCTCCTTAATTAACTATTTAATTAAGAGTCGCCACTTAATAGAGGCTGGGTGTGCCCCAGGAGGGTTTCTCTGATGTATGGCTGATTAAAAATAACTAGAAATCAGCCTGATTCAAACCTGGGGCCTTGAGCTCAGGAAGTCAGTGCTCACTCACTGAGCTACCCCGGTCCCAACAATTAATAATAAATACAGGTTTAAAAACAAAATAACAGTAATAATTAAATTTTACAAAACAAAATAACAGTTAAAAATCATTCTAATCAAACAAAATATTGTTCCATAATTTTCTTAATTCATTACAAATTAAATTTAAAATACAACATATTTTGAAAAAAATTGATCAGAAGTATTACTTATTACTTGATAATCACATTCTCAATGTAAATGAAACAAATTACAAATTATAAATATTATTTTTCTAATAAAATATGTAATAATAATTAAGATTTGAAGAAAAACTAAAAGGTTAAGCTAAAAAAAATAAATATGTAATAATTACCAAATGTGTTTCGTTAAGAATATTAACTAGCCAAACAAGTACAGATTCAATTCTTACCAATTATCATTTACAAGCATATTTACACCAAGTTATCTATTTGAATATGAAATAAGCTTTAAAAAAATTATAAGGAATCAAGACATTACTTGCAATATAGTGATTCAATTAATAGTAATTTTCTGAGGCCTGTCTATAACAGCAGTTGTTAATATAATTAACAGAAATATATTGTTATTAAGACATTACAATTCGCTTCTTGTACTGATATCATGATCGACCAATGATTTTTTATTACAGCAATAAAAATAAGTCATTGAAAAAGAGAATATGTGAAAGTTTGCTGTTTGTCTTATGTGAAAATACTATCTAACCTTTTATGAAAACTCTGGACAAAATTACAAGTCTACTTCGATAAATATTAATTTTTTTATTTTATAATTAAAAACGATTATGAACTCTTTTGAACAATCTACAAAACAAGAACAAGCTTTTCAACAGCCTCGTTCCAGTTACAAGAACAATTGGGGCAAGGTCAGAAGAACAATAAAACTTCATTACTTGGTTAAGCACCAGAACAACTGTGTAATCATTTTTTAATGAACTAAAGATAACTCAAATTGACAACACAGAAGCAAAAATAAATTAAAATCAGTTTGTATAATATAGTATTTAACAAAAATAAAAACAATGAAAAATCACAAATTTGATTTTTTTAAAAAGTATTTCCTTAAGCGGTGTTATATTTAATTTAATAATAACAAACTATAAACAGTATTTAAGTATAATAACGCATGATTTGAAGGACATAAGAAATCAGTGCTTTTGTTTCAAAACAAATGCATAGATAAATAAACAAATGAAGTAACCTACATTTGAAGGTTACACAAAGAGTGTTGTGGTCACAAAATAAAGGTCACCACCTGAATATGGTAATTAAGTCTATTATCAATTCAATTTATGGGAGGTAAGGAGAATAGAAATACCTGGTGTACAATTCAAAAAGGAGATGTGATGTGTTACTACAGATAAGTAAAATTCAAATCAATCACAAGATTTCATTTGTTTATTATACAATCATCCCAATTGACTAAAGTAAATGTATAGAATTTAAATTTACCAAAAGTCAAAGTAAGAACAGGTGGTAATGTAAGATTTAAAGGAGTCTAAGGACACCTAAATTAGTTCAAAAGAAGGAAGTAATGTAAATAAATAGGGGAGACAAGATGTAGGTACTTCATAGTGTACTGTCAAGTAAAGTGGCACACATTCTTTACACTGCAAGACATATGTGTAATTAATAAATCTAAAACTTACCAGTTGCTGGAAAATATGAGGAAAATCCACGATAAAGAAAATTAGGAAGACGCACTGTAACTACTAATGGCTCCCTTCCATGTTGTCTCAACTGATACGGATTACTACCGAGAGATGGCAGCAGCTTACGGCTCACTGCCAACGAGGTAGAAATCTTATAGAATAAACATTCCTTTCTCATTTTAATAACCATTAACTTGTTATATAGTTAATACTTCGTAGATGATCATCGTGGGATACCTATTTCAATAGAATTACGGTTGTCACATTTTCAAAGTCTTAAAGTATGAAAATGCTAAGTCGGAAGAGGATGACAGAAAATAATAAACTATATAATGAAGAGCATGATACATTTTATTTAAAAAATTAATTAACTATAAATTAAAAACTAATCATTCTTGTATTAACAGATTAGTCTGTGTAGTTTTTAATTTTACATGTTTTTGATCTTCTTGGCACATTTTACCTAGAGAACAAATAAGAAACTGCTTAATCTATCATTACAATTACCATTATATTGAAGTGTTTCCACTCAGCTGTTAGGTAATCTTCAATATTCAAAGCCACATTGCAAAAGCCTGTAAGAACAGAATCTAAAAATTTTCAGGAGACAAAAAAAAATGCATAATTTTGGTTCTATGAGTATTATATTTTCGGTTCAATTTTATTTTGCATACCTAGAAAAAAATGTATGCTCCACTTCCTTTTTTTATTCTATTTCTGGCAACTAATCTTTTAGCCATTACTTCTAACTTATAGCTTTTTAGTTACTATGAAAAACAGGTGTTAAGTAAAAGCAATTAAATTTATTGCAGTAACATTCATAACTTTGTTAATAGTGATCAAACCATGACAAGAACAAAGTTTCAAAAATGTAGAGAAAAGCTACGAAACTTCAAATGAAAATTAGCAAAACATTTGTCTGGAAATCAAGTATTTGATCAAACTTTTTGTCTACAACATTGTTGGCTCATAGGCAGTGCATGCACCCCATGCACCCATGGAGTAGTCTATGAAAGTTTTGTTTTTAACCTGCTTAACTTCCTATGGACATAATTTGATTCACAAATGCTTGTTAATTTTTAGGTAACCTACTGATGTGTATTTCACTTTGTTTATGAGCTTCGTGCGATTTCGAAAATTCATTGGTTTGAAAAGATGAAACTTGAGTTCTTTTTTCGTCTGTTTTGAAATTTTCCAATTAATGAAATCAATTATATATCTCTCACCATCTGGAATCCGGGAGCATTGTAGTTTTTTTTTTCAGTCAAGCTCATTTTACAGTAGCCAGGAGCTTTCAATTGTTTTGAAGTTGACTATGTTAATAAAGTTTAAAAGGTGTATGTAATTTTTTAAAGAAAAAAATATTAAAAATTCAATAAATATTTCAAACTGAGAAATGATGGTAATCAACGGAGTAATAGTAACTATAGTAATTGATAGGTAAATATTTATCAGTAATTTCTATTGAAAATTAAATTAAATATTAATATTTATGGTTTGTATGCAGCAATATTTAAGCTAACTCATTTATACAAACGGTATTTGTTCAAATAATATTTTTGAAAATACAACAAATTTTTATGGTTGGTTTATAAGAATAATATATAATAAAATATAAAATAATATAAGAATGATTTAGAATTCCATCAAAAACATTGAATAAACTTTTACTTCCTTTCTTCTAAAACTAATGAATTAGCATTTACACCTTTGATTGAAATTATTATGGTGATAAACATTTTGATAGTCTAAAGTAAGTAATATTATTAAATTTATTAATATAGCCCTAAAACATGTATTGAATGTAACAGAATTGAAAACGATGAGTGAATATTGAATAAATATAGCTGTTTATTTAAAAGAGACCTTAAGAAGTAAATTATTCAAAATGAGATAAGTGATCAATAATTAAATAAGAAATATTATAAATTTCTTTATTAGTAAAAATGTAACAGTAACAATAGAAACTATGGCACTTGGATGATAAACAGGACTTTGTAAACACATGTTATTATAACTAATTATATGGTAACATTTTAAGAGAAAGAAATGCACTTGTGATACAATATAAATAAAACATCAACATTTATAGTACTGTAACATCAACATTTCAATTTATATTCATCTAATGAGAATATTCAATTAAAATCAATAACATCAAACATTTAATTAAAATATTATAAACATCTTTATTGCTAATGTTTTGATAAAAATAAAATGTACCACTATAACCTTAGGTGGGTCATGGTTGTAGTGCTTTATAAGGAAATACTGTTGGGTCAGGATCAATTGCCAGGTTTTTCCCTTTAACTCAATTAAGTAACCCTGCTATTTAGACAGAGTGTACTCTTGGAAGGTCATCTGACCACTGATGATTAAACACAATACATAATTAACTGCTACAACAAGACTAGAATCCAACTTTTTAGAATAGGAGTATAGTGACTCAATGAACAACCTTGCTCCATTTTTTCCTTGATCCACATGGAGGGTAAAATATTATACATTTTTTCATGTGAATTTGCTGTTCCTTTGTTGAGTAACTGTACAGGATTTCAGTCCTTATCAGGGAACATTATTTTTCAATCATCTCTATCATTTCCTCGATCTCTGGGTGATCTTGTTTATAAGCGCCGATCCTCAGGGTCGTCGAGTGGTCTTCCGCATGGATGAAACAACCTGATAATCAAGTGGCAATCTGATAAATCAAATATTACGAGTTCTAAACCTGATACCAAAGGGGGGGTGGGTAGACTTTTAACTCCTAACATCAATTTCCTGTCCACTCCACTGCCCCAAAAGGCGAATCCTGTATAGCTGAAAAGGCGAGGAGAGAAAAAAAAGAAGTGTTATTCCTATCTTGCTCACACACAAGATTGGTATTTCGCCTTCATCTGGATAATTCTGGGTATTCTATAGGAATTAATGCTTGCTATAACAGAAAATTAAACATGATTAGAGGTGAACATGCTCTTTGTAAATCAGAGTGGTTTAAAAATTTCTTGAGTGGTAATTTATATATCAGAATTGAAGAACAGAGTTATGATTTATTATTAGCTACTAAAACCTGGCAAAACCATTAATACTGAACGCTATCGTCAATATGAGTCCTACTTATTAGCAGACATCCCTCAAAAACGTCCATTGATGCCATAGAAAAAATTACATCAAAAACAGACAATATAAACAGTAACACCTTTAACAGTAAGATTAACAATTTACAAAAGACTTACTTGCCACAGCATATTCATATCTTATTAAAAGAAAAACGCAGAGCAGGATCGAAGTGGAATAGAACTAGATATCCAACAGATAAAACTCATTACACCCAACTGACTAATAAACTAAAAACAGAAATTAGAAAATAAACAATTTACTAAATTTTACTGAAATACTTACACCTACTGATAAATCACTATGGACAACGACTAAAAGTCTCCTGAAATTTAAAAACTTTAACCATCCACTTCTTACTGAAGCTCAAACTTGGTACAAATTCGACGAAGAAAAATCCCAAATTTTTGCACATCACCTCTTCAAAATCTGTAATCCACATCCTGATATCCTTTATCCAAATCAGCTTGAATGTATTGAAGTAGAACTGAATATTCCACTCCAAATGACTCCTCCTTCTAAAGCATTTCATCCTTCAGAAATAGCCAATATTATTCACAGATTACCCTCCCGCAAAGCCCCTGGCCACAACGAAAAGCCATTCTATTTCTTACTTACATATATAACGCCGTACTCCGTTCCACATATTTTCCTGATCCTTGGGAATTATCTGTAGTCAAAATGATACAAAAAGAGATCAGAATACCCATCCTCTGACTGTCCTATTTCTCTTTTACCCATCATGGGCAAAATCTGGAAAAGCTCTTCTTAAAACACCTGTATCCCATCCTAGATTCTAACCACATAATCCCTGATCACCAATTTGGATTCCGCACATCGCACTCCACTATCCAGCAATGCCATCTTGTGGTAGACGTCTCCTCTGCATTGGAGTGCGGAATGGATTACACTGGAGTCTTTCTCGACGTTGAACATGCGTTTGATTGAGTCTGGTACCCGGGATTGCTTGGGGACAAACTCCGTAAATTCCTTCTCCCTTATCATCAGAACCTACCTTACTGATAGACACTTCGAAGTAAATCATAATAATACCTATTCATCCCTCTTTTCTCAATCTGCCGGTGTTTCTCAAGGTAATATAATTATTCCTATCCTTTACACAGTTTATTGTACAGCTGATATCCCAACCCATCCTTACACTGTCATCACCATGTATCATATCAGTTAATAATGATCCATTCATTGCATCCCAAATTTTCCAATGACACATCACAAACTTTGAAGAATGGTGTCAAAACTGGAGAATTAAAATAGATCCCATCAAATCACCTTTACTCTTTGTCGTAAACCTATGACTTCCTGTCCTACAGTATCGTTTTTAATAACACTCCACTTATCCCTGTGGAACAAATCCGATACCTAGGACTCCACCTGGACAAACGCCTGACTTGGAATCCTCATACAAGACTGAAACGACAAGAAACTGATCGACGTTTACTCCAACACTTACTGGACAAACGCTCTAAATTTTCAATTATTTACAAAAGACTCATCTACATGACTATATCATGATATCAGTCATATACATGACTATAATAAGGCCTATTTGGACTTATGGAGTTGAGCTATGGGGCTCCACTAAACCATCAAATTCCTCTCGTATCTCAAATTCCGATCTAGCCCAATCAAGATACCTATCCTTCCATAATAAACTTCATTACCATCCGAAACCTAACCATCTTGTTTCTAACCTTGCTTCCTTTTTCGATTCCTGATAACCCTCCGAAGCGTCTGAAAAGAAGATGGCCTTGTAATCTCCTTATGTTGACATATTATTAGATTACTACCAATGGGTAGTTTCTCAACAACTGTTTTCATGTGATTATATTCCTCTGTACACAATTACTTGATGTATTTATACTAATACAGTTATAAATATCATAAATAAAAAAAATTAACTGTTTACATAAAATCAGCTGATTATAACTTTATATTTTGACAGGTATAAAGTTAAAAAAATAAAATAAAAGCTTTTGAAAAAGATAATCATTGTAAGATACATGTCATTAGAATATTACATATGATATGTTTATTTCTGAATAAATGATTATATTATACTTTGGTAAAGTAAATGTTATGGTAATATATGAAAGTAAATGGCAGTAATTTCATTTTCTAATCAAAATATTGCCTAGAACAGAGATGGACAATTAATGTAGAGATAAATAAATATCAAAATTCCTGTAAATATGAATTGGCAAAAGAACTTTCAAACATACAAAATAAATCACAAGTATCTGACCTAACAGTACATATATACAAACCTGAAGACAAACTCATAATAAGTAGTGTTCATGGAAATGACTATGTACATCTCGGCATTTACCTATTTCAATTAACATTAGTTTATAGTACAGACTTAAGACAACATTTGGAAGGAGGTACTTTCCAGTCATATTCATAAGGAGATGAATATTGAGTCTCAACAGAACAAGACACCCCTGAATGTGACAAGGAAGCATACAAGGCTCTAATATGCTCAGGCGTTTGCTTATGTGTTACCATATGAGAGTTGGAACACCCACGACTAACATGGCCAGAATCAAAACGTATATCATGGATACGACTTATATTGTAGGGTGATAGCCATACTCCAAGTGATACATCCTCTGAATTGTATGTGCTGTAAAATAAAATAATATGAGGATAAAATAATGTTTCAGTAAAACAATATAATTTTTAAATTAATTGAAAATTTGAAAGATACATACAAATTTACAAACCATTGCTTTTAATACAAAATATTATTTTAAAGATATTTATTCTTAAAATATTTTATAAAATCATAACTTTTAAAATATCTAAACAACAGTAAGTAAAGATATGTCCAAAATTGATATACCATTATAAAAAATTTCAAAGAATATAAATCCTCAATTCCCATGGCAACTCAAACTCAATCCTTACATTTTAAGACTTATACAATATAATATATTATATATTTTACACTTGGTCTTATTTGAAGAAAACATATTGAAATGTTTAATAATTAAAGACTATAAGTTCAAGGAAAATTCATATATCAGTTCAAACTAGACACTTTGAAATATTGACTGGTAGTTCGAAAAAATTAAATTTATTGTGATAAATTGGCGTTCTAAAAAACTTCAAGTAATGTTTTTATTTATGTAATTTTAAATGAAGAATTCACTTTAAATAAAAAAAAAAATGTTTTCCCAATCGATTTCTCATCAACTAACTTATAAATTAATTAAATTTTTAATTCTGTACCTTAGAACTTGTGCTTTGTCAACAATTAACTCTACTGCAGGGTAGGTCAAAATGTAACCACCACCAAGAGCATATGGTAAATATCTAAAACAAAACACATAACAAGTTTTTTAAATTTTAATAATTGAAATTTAAAAATGTATTAAATGACAAGTAAATATGATATATACAACATGATGAGAAACTACCCATTGGTAGCACTCAAATTATATTTCTGTATTAGAAGGTCCTGAGGCCATCTTCTTTTCAGAAGCCTCGGAGGGTTATCAGGAATAGAAGAGGAAGCAAGGTTGGAAACACGAGGGTTCAGATGGTTCAGAAGTTTATTATGGAAGGATAGGTTTCTGGATGATTTAGTAGAGCCCCAAAGCTCGATCCCGTAAGTCCAAATAGGCCTTATTATAGTAACATATGAGCCTTTTGTAAATAGTTGGAAGTTTAGAGCGTTTGTCTAGTAAGTGCTGCAGTACTCGAAAACGTTGGGCGGTTTCTAGTCGTTTCAGTCTGGTATGGGTGTTCCAAGTGAGTGGTTTGTTTAGGTGGAGTCCTAGGTATCGGATTTGTTCAACAGGGATAAGTGGGCTATTGTTGAAGGACACTGTAGGACAGGAAGGTTGGAAACACAAAGGTTTACGACTAAGAGTAAAGGTTATTTGATGGAATTTATTTTAATTCTTCAGTTTTGACACCATCTTTTAAGACTTCTGATGTGTGATTGAAGAGTTTGGGATGCAATAGATGGATCGTTATTAACTGATAAGATACACGTGTCATCGGCATAGGTGGTGATGACAGTGTTTGATTGGGTTGGGATGTCAGCTGTATAAACTGTGTAAAGGATAGGACCTAGGATACAACCTTGAGGAACACTGGCAAACTGAGTAAAAAGAGATAAATAAGCATTGTTATGATTTACTTTGAAGTATCTGTCAGTAAGGTAGGAGCAGATAATGAGAAAGTATGTAGGTGGAAGGAATTTACTGAGTTTGTACATCAGTCCTGGATGCCAGACTCTATCAAACGCCTGTTCAATGTTGAGAAAAACTCCCGTGCAGAGACATAATCAGTAACAGTAATGATTTTCTGGAAATTAAAGTATATTTTTCTAAGAATTGGATAACATTTAAAATTTAACATTAAGTCATGATCACAATAGATATGGTCAGTTTATTGTAAAAAGTTATTATGTACACTTTTGATTGAGCTAAGCATTTAAGTGCATACTTGTGAATTTAAATCATATTTATCAATGAAAACTGATCATTAAGTACATTTAGAAAAATACAATGTTTAAAAATTAATCGAAGTACTTAAGAGATTTAATGTTCTAAAAGTTACTTCAATAATAATGAACAGATGATAAGTAAATTCATCATGTCTTGGAAAAATGCATAGTTTATTTATATAAGTATTTCAAAAGCTCTAGCATTCATCACACTTAAATAGTTTTTAATGAAGTTAAGGAGAAGATGTTATTGTTGGTTAGTCCAAATGCAATATGAACTAAATAAATATTTCTCACCAGCGCTATCAGCGAAGTTCATTTAAAAAATAATATGATAATTAAACTAAGGATAGCTACCATTAATTTTAAAGACTATCATTACTAAAACAAATTAGAAGCTATTAAATGCAATACTGTTATAGCTTATTGGTATAAAGGAAAGAAATAAGTAGGTAGGATAGAAAATGATTTACCTGTCACAAAGAAACCACTGGTCTTCCTTCCATTTTCCCTTTTTAAAAACACTTGCTCTCCCATTGAAATATCCCCAATACACAGGCTTTTGTTTATCCACAGAAACCATTGCTTCATTCAACATTCTTAGATTAACAAATGTATCATCATCAGTCTTAAGCAGAAAATCAAATTTGTATGTTTGATAAACATGAACTAGAGTAGCTAATAGTTTTTTGGTAAGGCTTTGGTAGCCCTCATGGAGAGGGAGTAAAAGAATATCATTGTGCTCACTTTGTTCAGATAAAATGGTTTTCCTTTGTTCTGCTGTAAAGCCTAAGCTGCCAATTACAAACATATAGGAAGATCTTTGGTTTAAATCTCGCAACCATGTTTGCCTGATTGCATACCTTTTTATGACATTTTCTGGTGAGCTCAAAATAATCACAATCAACTGAAATTCCTCTTTTTCGAAAACATTTTCAAATCCTTCTTTTTTCAGGTCATAGCTAGTGAGCAGGAGGGTAAAACTACAACCCAAGACGAAACAGAGAATATGAGTTATATGACACACTTTCAAATGCATTTTTACTGTTAAATAGCATTTCGATTAAGAGAGTGAGCGAATCACGTAATTTCAAAAACATGTATACAATTGCACTTAAATCATATTTTTAAGATTTTCCGGTAAACTCTTGACAGTTGTAACAGTCATGTGAGGTAATTAGGATAGGAAGGAATAAACAATAAGTTAACCTAATCGCAGAGCTCATGGAAGGCATCATTTCGCCCAGTTTAGACAGATTCGGTATAAACAATTGGACATCATCTCTGATTAAAAGATGAAAAGTATCGGCTCCACAATGTAATAAAACACTTCAAAAATAATTAAAGATTGTAATAAATTAATTAATTATAAATAAATAAATTATTATAATTTATTAAAAATATAAGTACCATTTCACAAGCACTACACCAACATAATGGATGGGCACTTTCACACTGTAGATGAGATTCTGAAAATGGCCTATTATTAACAACTGTATTGAAGCACTTACGGATCCAAGATTTAATTTTTTTTTGGGGGGGGAGCTTCATATAAAAGATGAAATCCCACTTTTTACATTTTTACAATTTTCTCAAATTATCCATCAAACAATTTTGATTAAACTCGGTGTATCAATGTATAATTAAGTGGTCTTTAATATTTTTTAGGCCGTATGCCTAATGATGTCGCTTAATAGGGCTTAAATGCCCTATGTTCAAGATGTCTTCCTCTGAAATACCTTTAATTTGGTTACTCCCATTGTTACTAGTTATTAAAAAGGCTAAATATAACTTTTGAAAGAATTTGATAATTGAATAAAGGAGAAAAAAAGAAAAATCCGTATCCAGGTCGAAAATGAATCTCCGGATATACTAGTCAGAAGGTATAGTATAATATATCGTTGGAAAGCGGAGAATTTTAGAAAAAATAATATCTAATAAATAAAGTTGTAGAAGATGACGGAGAGTAAAGAAAACAAATTTCTGAAATCTAACATTGATTAACGTAAATCAGATTTTTAAGAAAATAAAATAAAATTATGTTACTGACTTTTCAGTCTACAGATATTACGACTAATTACCCAAGCACCCTGGTACGTGAATAATAACACTTTACACACTGACTTACACATGCCAACGATCAATGAACACATACGAACTTACTACAAACGATTCCATAATAAATTACATGGACACTCCAACCAGCTAATTAAACAAATGGTCACGAATATTATGCCAGAGAACTCCAGAAGACGACTGAAAAGGGTCTAGATGAGGGACCTACTTACATAATTGTATGTAAGTAAGTAAAAGCCATGGAAAGGATGCCGCTGGGTATTGCTTTTCCTCATGCCTACCAAGCCTTTTTATTTACTTTTTTTTTTTTTTTTTTTGTCATGACTGTGCCAGCACATCTGCTGATTGTCAATAGTTATAATTGACAGGTGCGGATAAATATATGTAAGTGCAAAAAAAAAAAAGTTTCTGAAAAAAAATTTAAAGTTAAAAAAAAGTATTTAAAGTCCACGGAATCAAGGCAATGACGTTGTTTAAGATACTATTTCCTTGTAATTATGTGAAAGAAGAAGTGAAATATAATAATAAAGGAAATAGTTGGCCCGGGGTGGCGGTCATAAATAGACTAAATAGTGGCAAAACTATTTTATTAAAACCCAACGTTTCGGACCGACTTTTCAGGTCTTCTTCACAGCTAGAACGGATAACATACAAAAGAGATACTGAGTTTGTATCTGGCCGTTGTTGGACCCGTGTTTCTTGAGTCATATTGAATTGAATTCTTAATAGTTGACTGTTGTATTATTAAGGAGATGGTCCAGAGTGGCGGTCATAAATAGACTAAATAGTGGTAAAACTATTTTGTTAAAAGCCAACGTTTCGACCCGACTTTGCAGGTCTTCTTCAGGAATATAACTGACAAGAAACAATCTTGTCCGTTTATTGTTTCTTATCCACATATCTCATTCTTATCCTCATTTCCCTGTTTATTGTATCTTGTCCGTTTTAGCCCTGAAGAATATCTGCAAAGTCAGGTCGAAACTTTGCCTTTTAATAAAAAGTTTTGCCACTATTTAGTCTATTTATGACCGCCACCTCGGACCATCTCCTTCCTTGATAATACAACGGTCAACTATTAAATATTCAATATGAAATATAATAATATTTCATGGATTTTTTTATAACCTTTAATATATTTACTGCAGTTTAATAGCTCTAGATCTTATATTATATTTAAATAATTAGGTATGTATCTTCAGTTTATTCCGAAAAATCATCATGCAAACTTTTATAAAGTTGAATTAGTGAATATTTCGATGAATATTCCCTTTGTGGTATCCCAACAGTATCGACTTACAATTAGTGTGACAACTTCTGACCTATCTATGACAGACAATGATAATTTCGTAATTCCATTTTATTATACTTTACTATAGAAAATAACAGTTAAATAACTAATAGTCGTACAATCCATAATCAACCGTTGATATAATAAATAGAATTTTTGTTATTTTAATGGTATGTTAGCTATAAACTTTAGCTTTAGCTCGGTTAAAATGCACTTCAAAGATTTTATAATATCCAAATTTATAATTTCTATTCAAAGTTGAGCGGTAAGTGAAAGTTGTGTGTTGCGCGCACCAGATTTTTTCATCAAAGTTCCGTTATCAGGTTGACGGCAATGCGCGGTGCTGTGCACACGCGTTAGCCCCCTCGCTCACCTAGCCCCCAACGAAACATAATGCTTTTAGAGATAATTATTTAATAAGACATGGTTATACTTTTACTAATTGGAGAGGGGAGGGGGTTCAGCCCGAAAGAACCTGTGGATCCGCCTGTTGTGTAGACATAACCTAACTAATATTTATTAAATAAGATCGAAACTCTGCCATGTACTACTATCCTTCCATACTATCGGAAAACCATTAAATTTAAGCCTAACATTTTTATTTAAAATTATTTCAGACTAGGATGCTAAATTGAGAAGATTTGGCCGCAACGGTGAGCAGGTTCAGCGAAATTAACCAGTTTTTTTTATTCGCAAGTTGCGCACTCAAAATTTTTGAGGGGGCCCATTTTGATGAGGTTTTGAATTTTTGAGGGGAATACATTTTGACGTGGTTATTAATTTTCGGATTGAAAAGTTTCAAACCAGTGGACAAGAGAAAAAAGCATAGTACAGACCACTGAAAGTGTAATTGAATGAAATCTATGATTTTTAATATTTTACCTTAGCTTGCATTGTTTTTAAGAAGAGATGAGAAATAAAATATCTTAGGAGGGGTGGGTGAATCTTACGCCATCGACCTTGGGGAAAGGGGAATGGGCACCACTGATTTGGCTTATGCATGGGTTGATACCAGAATTTATGTATCTAGATATAACTGATACGGGTATTTTTTTTAATTATTTGATACTTTTGTATCTGATACAAATGGGTCAATATTTTGTCATTAACTTCCTATTTCTGTGATGCAGTATTAATACAAACTAGTGTTCGAAATTCGACCATAGCCATTCAAAATTTGAAGAAAAGATATGATTAAATACAAAATAAAGTAAATAAATAAAGAGTAAATCACGATTCAGAAATCCTCATTTATCAATACAAACAAAATTTCAATTTCAATTAAAAGTTGAGCTTAAGTCATTTAAAATTATTTATAAGTAATACAAAATATACTCATCCAAAAATATTTAATTTTCATTTTAATTTATGTGTGTTATTATTAAGAAAGTAAAAAATAATTTTAAATTCACTTTAAATCCATTTTTATTCAGAACTTCTATGTAAATAATGTTCTTTTTTAATGTTCTGTTATTGCTTAGTGTATAGCCATGCCAATTGCCATTGAAAATATAAATTTCAATATATTTTAAATGAACATGCTCTAATTGCTGCCACATATAATTGTCCATGCGAAATTACTGGACGTCACAATAATATACACATTTTTCCAAAGCTTTTATCCTGCAATTTGATTATGGTCATAGCAAATGCAGCTATTAATAGGAACGTTGTTCTTTGAAAGTCGAACGTTGTTCTTTGAAAGTCGAATATAAGCATAGTGTCAGAAAATGTTAAATTAATTCTTGGAATTAAAATTCTTTAATTTAAAGTAGCCCCCGTTAATACTTCAGTCTCGTTCCTGTTCCACTAACTAATGCTTGTGCAGTATTTAAGTTAACAATGAGTATAACTATAGAATATATTTTTAAATTTAATGTATTAGGTTTTGAGTTCTACCAATGGGTAGTTTCTCTTCATGTTGTACATGTCATGTTACCAATGTCACATTTACTTATTGTATTTTCTATGTAATACAGTTGTAAATTTCATTAAAATAAAAAAAAATAAAAGATTTATTAGGTATCATTCCACTAACATTACATGATATCATCTCTTCAAATAATAGATGTAATTACGCCAATCACCTCAGTAAATGAAATGTTTTCGATTTATCAAAAACAAAATAAAAGAAATCGCATTTTGAAGGGAAAGAAAACGTACTGAATGTTTAAAATGATATATCTCTGCAACAAATAGTCCGATTTTGATGATTTTTTTTTTTTTATTTTGTAGGAAATTCAGGAAGCTTTCAAATAAATATGGTATTAGTGTAAGTATGTTATATACATAAATTATAAAGGTTTCAAGGGAAAGACTTTAGCCACGTTTCATTGAAATATTGGCGCTACATTCTAAAGCGAATCATGTTTTTCGGCCGCCATTTCGAAAGGAAAGGCCCGATGATAATGAAACGTATACAAAAAAACTTCTAAATATTATTGGGACGTTTTGTCAAAATTTAAAAGAAATCGGTGAAGAACTTCCGAAGATATGCCGTTTTGAACAAATACCATTTATATTTTTATTCACATAATATTTAATATTATTATTTATCGATAACACTAAAGCTCGTCAATATCTATAAAACAAAAAAAGAAGGAAGAAAATCGGTTGAATAATAGAGGAGTAAAAGGGGCTGAACCGATTTTTGTTTGCCTATTTATATAATGATCTGTGTGACCACTTCCTTCTATAACCTTACGATGATCTTAATAAATGTTTCTAGGAATGTTAAAGCTCTATGTTATTATTTTGATATCTGTAATAATTTTATTATATTTCAGCATGAATACATTTTCAAGTTTTA